GCACCCAAACACCTTCTTTATGTAGTTTTTCCATATCTCTTAGATGTTTACGTATTGTTTCATGAGAGACATGCTATTTCAGGGCCATTTCATGAGTGTGTTGCCTTGGGCTAGACTCAACAAGCGTATTCAGAGCATCAATATCAATTCCAACATATCGGCCCCTGCCATCACAGTTTTTTTAAGGCTAAAGTCACCTGAGCGAAATTTGCTGAACCATCGTTGACACTTACGAACGTTCAAAACATTTCCATAAACTTCTTTGATATTATTTGTGGCTACAGAGGCGTTGTTTCCTTTCGTGTATTCATGTGTGTCTCGTCGTGTGCCATCACTATAAGGGATTAGAGTATATTAAACTTTACACATTATATAGGCAACACTAATGTGACGTTTAGATGATTCGTTTAACTATTATACATGTTGTACGTTTTTTTGGGAAAGTGTTCCAAAACGCGACATTAATTTCTTGACGATCTAATAGTATGGGATAATCAAGATAATGCTCCTTTTTTATCTTGATGATTTGATTATATTTTAAGGTTCGGAAAACTGTTTATGATTCAAGTTTATAATAAAACGAGTGGCCAGTTTCTCTAATATACGATTTGGAGATTTTCAAAATGTACTTTGATAAATATATATTTTTTAAGGCATTCATTTTAATATTTCGTTATCGAACGGGTCTTTGGAGGATTTTCCTTCTAATACATAGCTTAACGGATGTCACTTAAACTTCAAATAATAATTCAGTGTGAGTAAAAGGGCTACTAATATTGTGCACGTTGAATTTGTGGTATGAACAGTAATTTAGATGAAGTTATAATAGACGGTTGGTGAAGATATTTGTGGCAATTTTGTCACCAATACTGTAGAGAACAAGATCCGAAAATATCTCAAGTGTGCCTGTTATTAATCGAATATATCTATTTAGAAATTCCAGATAATATAACTATAATCCCACGCTATATTTTCTACACACTACAAACACGTAGTATAACGTATTTATATACATATATATATACTAGTAAAAACTTCGCGCAAAGCTACACGGGGGCTATCTGCGCTAGCCATCCCTAATTTAGCAGTGTAAGACTAGAGGAAGGGCAGCTAGTCATCATCTCCCACCGCCATCTCTTGGGCTACTCTTTTT